GAAATGTCTTAAGTAGAATATATGTCTATGTAGAATATAACAATAATTTTTTAAACATCTTCATGAAATGTTGCTAGATAGTTTATTCCAGGTAATGAGATAATAGGTGTTTAGAAATTATTTTAAAATGATGGTTAGCCCAGCATGGCAGCACACACTGTAAATCCCAGCAACTCTGGAGGCTGAGGCAGGAGGACTACAAGTTCAAGGCTGGCCTGGGCAATTTAGTGAGACCGTTTTTCAAAATAAAAAATGAAAAGTACTGGGGATGTAGTTCAGTGGTAAAGTGCCTCTGGTTTAATCCCTAGTACCAAATAAATAAATAAACAAACAAACAAACAAATACATAAAATAAAAGAAAGAAAGAAAAGCAGAACTTTCCACCATATATTGTTCAGAGAACATGAATCACAATGATAGGAAACAAAACCTCCTAAATGTTACAATACTCTTGCAAAGGTGGCTAATACCAGGTCAGGAGGGAGGGTGGGTGGGAAAGGGCAGAAGATGGCCTGGAGTCCTGGGAGGATCTATAGGTAGCCCCATCCTCTGAGTCTTGCACGTCCCCAAGGTTAGCTCAGCCCAATAGAGCAGGTGGGGCTGCTTCTGGAGGCCTCTGGAGCGTTCCCTGCCCAGGCTGTTCCCTTCCCATGGGCACTGCTTCTGTCTCATTCCCTCTCATGTTTACCCTGCTGCTCGGCAGCTCTGGCAGGCCTCAAGGCTTTGGGGAGAGAGGTGCTGCCCTTGAGGCCTGGAGTCCTGGGAATGCAAAGCTCAGGTATCCATCAGACAGAGAGCTGGCTGCACTGGATCAGGACAGTTTGTGACACACAGGAGCGGGGGTGCCTCACCTGCATCATAGATGCTGATCTCTGAGGCTCAGCCTGGGGATCACACAGCCTGGGGCTTCTCAACCTCAGTTGCATGGGGATATTAAAAAGTCCTGCCACTTGGGCCCCACCCCAGAGGCTCCAGTGTGATTTGCCTGAAGTGTGAGGCTTGAAGCTCCCCCATGACTCCAGTGTGCAGCCAGCTGAGGCTGAGGACCACTGCTCCAGTCCAGGCACCCAATTTTGTGTACATGACGCACGCATTGCAGGCCACATAGCCATTCAGAGACAAGGCCTCACAATCAGTGGTAGAACTATCTACAGAGCATTTATCCTGTGCTCAGTCCTGTCACTTCATCATTGTGACAGCCCTGTGAGGCTGTCCATTCCTACCCTCCAGATGAAGAAATCGAAGCTAATCCCTGCCCAGAGCCCTGCTCTTCCTACCTCTGCTCACGGACATCTACAGAATTGTTGCACAAACAAGACCAGGATCCCATGGAAGGGACCTCTTTCTCCAGGACCTCCCTGCTCTAAGGTGGCCATGAGCTCCTGTGATACTTCTTCCACTTCCTGTCTCCTCCCTCCCCTCACCCTTCCTGCTTCTGCCTGTGGGAGTATTAGGATCACACCTCTGCTCCGGAACTTTAGTAGGCCTCAGAAGGCCTCTGATGCAGAGTGTTAGCTCCATATGCGAATTCCCTGGCTTCACCCATCAGGTTTTGATTTGGAGCTGGGGTGGTGGGGCCCAGGGAATTGCATTTCATCAAGAAGCCCAGATAATATTAAGGCAGGAGATCCAGTGACTGCCTTTTAGAAAGCACTATTCTAAGGAGAAAATCCAGTCTCCCTTCCCCACAAGTAGGGAGACCAAGTCCCTCGCTCCAGGGTATGGGGGCCCATGTGATTGGGGGGGGGGGTCGGCGCAGGCTCCTGAGAGGCCTCCACCAGTCCTTCTCACTCTAATGAGCCCCGAGGCTTCAGTGAACTCATTCCCCACAGACAGAACACTGGCAAGCTTTCTTTGACCCAAATGGGTCTGCAATCTTGTGGGTCCCTTGACATCAGATTAAGTGCTCCCACCTGGCAGGTCATCTTGTACACACATTTCCCAAGCTGTAGGAGGTAGGCCTTCAACTTTTCTGTCCCTTCCTGCTTTTTCTCTTTCCCTGACTCTATGGGGTTCGTGCTACTATTTTCATTATACTGAGAGACTAGCTCAAAAAGATTAATCACACACCTTAGCATCACACATGGTATGAACTTGAGTCTCTGTCTGTCCCAACCTGTCTTCCCTCTCATGCCAGTGGAAGAGGGTGAGAGGGATCTCTTGGTCCCCTGGTTCTAGGTGGAGCAGAGCTGCCTGACCTACCTTTAGCCTCAAGACCTGTGGTGGTGGGTGGGGCAGTGCTCCATTGATTCTAGTGGAGGGGCTAGGCTGCCACCCAGGTCCCCTTGGAGGCTCCAGCAGGAGTGAGCCTTCCTGTTTCAGACCTGGCCCAGCTGGCAGAAAAGTGGTCACTTCTGTCACTCCAAGGTGTCTGCCATAGTCCTGCCTGTTCTTTATTTCCAGAACCCAGGCTTGCAGTGAAGATACAGGCAGGAGGAGGGGATCTCCGCCCATTTCTTGGCGGGGGGGAGGGAGGACAGGGGCTCAGCTTCTGTGGCTTGAAGCCAACTGGGGAGAGGTTCAGGCAGCAGCAGGACTGAGCAGGTCTGCCCATGCCAGCTCCAGCTAAGGAGCAGACAGAGAGGAGGTTTCCCTTGGCTGTCTGGGAAGCTGTTTTAAAAGAAGTGACAGTAAAGCTGAGCCAAGTGAGGGCCAGAGGGGACCTGCACCAAGCTCCTACATTCACCTCTTCACCGCTGACCTCCAGCTGGATGCAGTCTGCTCTGAAGGAGGAGGGAAGGAAGGGTCACTCACTTGTCTGTGCTCAGCACTGGAGTTGGAACCCAGACCCTCTGCTCCAAAGTTTGTGATGGCTGTCACTCACCCCTTGGCCTCCTCAGACGGTCCTCTTGGACCACATAGGCACCAGTGGCCCTCTCCCAAGTCCCTCACTGCTGGGCTAGCTCATGTCAGGGCAGGCAGTGTTGTTTCAGATGACCTCCTTTGGACTGCAAGGATCAAGGCCACATGGAACAAACTGTCCATTTCGGACTTCTAGGCCTGGAGAGGGGTGGGACGTTCAGGGGTTGAAGGGCAGGGTAACAGGGAGGAAGAGGAAAAGCAGGTCTGGCTGTTCAGGAGTCTCAGGCCTATTGGTTTTCCCACTGAGGCCTCCCTCATCAGTGCATCGAAGACCCATTTGTCAGTGAGATGGAGAAATAATTCATGCCTATTTTTTGACAAATTAAAATATATGAGTGTGTGGGAAGGCCTTTTTCCCCTTTTTTTTTTAATCTCCTAAGGGTAAATAGTTTCCCCAGGAAGAAGGAAAGTAGCCCAAGGCAGCTGGAGGGAGAAGCCCACACCTGGGGAACTATTTACAGCTGTGGGATTACATTATGAAAGGAGGAGGCCTGCTGGGGACTGGGGGCTGTAACTTGGATACTCAGGGCAGCCGGGGATGGTAGATGCAGGAGATGGGGAGGAGCCAGCTGAGGGCACCAAACTGGACCAGAGATGGAAAGTCAGTGGGGTGCTGTGGCCAACATTCCAGAAATCTGAGGCACACACCACTTCCTCCTAAGCCTGGGGCCCCCTTCCCCACTTACACTCCTTTCAGGACTGAAAGACACCCACAGGGGTGGGAGAGCAGAGTTGGATGGGACTGGAAGGTGGTCCCCAGGCACCAAGGCTGCTTTGGGGATGAAGTGAGGGGTCACCCACTGTGAAGGGAGTTAGTTTTATTCTTGCAGCTCAGCTCTGCTTCTGTTACTGCTCGAAAGGAAATTATAGGACCTGCAGACTGCACAGCCTTCCTCTCCTGCAAGCTCTTTGTGCGTCCCTTTGTCTTTCTGGCTTAGATTTATCTCCTTCTGCTTAAATTACCCGCTTTCTAGGCAGACCCTTGCCTACAGACCTCATGCAGATGGAAGGATGGCCACCCCCAGCCCATGCACCTTCCCTTGGGATGGGGCATTTTCATAGGGGCAGGTTTGGGCTCGCAGAGGCCCCGGGCACAGCAGCCCTTCTTAGGCAGGCGAGACTTCACACCCACACTGAATGGCCAGTCATCTAGGATCCTTGGAGCCCTCTGTGCTCTGTGCTTCTGTTGTTCTTTTTGGAAGGGAAGAATGAAACCTTCTTGCCTCTTTTGCTTCCCAGACAGAGCCTGTCTGGCTCAGAACCAACGACAGTGGGGAGCCAGGAGGGAGGCCATGGGAACCATTCCTCCTGCCGGGCTGAGGTGTCTGGGTGGGATAGGGGTGGGACGGAAGGGACCAGCTGGATAGCTCAGTGGGGGAGGGTCCTGCTGGAGCTGCAGTGACAGTGGAGGGTGGAGAAGTGGGTGAAAAGGGACCAGTGTTCCCCTGCCTCAAGGAGAGGCGGCTATTGCCAGGGATACAAAAGCCTCTGTGAAGAAATCTGTGCACTTCCAAGTTCATGGAAAAAGGGACTACCCGTCACAGTCTGGCAGGACTCTTCGGTTGTTGGGGTGAGGAGGGGCAGAGCCAGGATTCCAGGCAACATTGCCATGTCTTCTGTATCACCAGAGGGCCAGTTCCAGTAGGCTCAGACTCAGAGAGGTAGGAAGCCAGTGCTGCTGGACATGGTGCATCTCAGTAGTTTCCTGGAGTCTCCCCCTCCCCACCCCCACCAGCCTTCTGAGACCAGACCCCACAAATCCCTATGGAGCTACATGCAAACTGAAAATTCTCTTCTTGAATTAGTTCTGGCAGTTGCTCATTTGGGGATGGGTTGGAAAAATTTGGCAAAGAAAGGAAAAGGAACTTTGAAGACAGTAGACTGAATACCATGGAACACTTGGATTGCATTAATTAAATGGGAATAAGTTTCCATTCTGACCTCAGGGCAGATCAGTCACCCTCACGATTTGGGTCTGGCTCCAGGAGAGGGTCAAACTGTCCTCTTCACTGCTTTGTGCTGAAGGTATAGAAATAAACCTTTTGTCTGCTGGGGAAAAGGCTCTCCTCAGAGCTGGGAGGGGGTGAGTACCTCTTTTACCAGGAACCCAAGACAAGAAACAAATCCCAGCAACAATCAAGACTTCAATGGAAATTTATTTTTTTGAAAGGGCTGAGGAGAACTTTTACAAGAGTCTGAAGCCAGTAACTAGAAAGAAAGATAAATAAAATACAAAGCCAGTATGCTGTGGCAAAATTCCAGAAAACACACTGAAAAAAAATCTTTAAAGTTTAAACCTGCTTCACTTTTATACATAATTACAAATTAATGTACAGCATTAGGGTTTTAACCCACCTTTTTATTTACTAGGAGTTAGCACAGATACAGATACAGCATCTGAAACAGCCATGGCGAGCAGAGGTGCCAGGTGTGTCCTCGGCGCCCTCTGCAGGGCCTGGCGTTGCAGTGCACACAGCGAGGCTGACCTGGATCATAGACAGACAGACTGGGCTGTCCCTCATCAGCGCATGGAGGACCCATCTGTCAGGTGGTGGGGAAAGGCAGGGGACAGCTCATGTTAGGGGGAGGTCTGGAGGGCCCTGGCACAGTGGCTCCCACCTGGTTTAGGGAGGTCATCCGCTTCTGGTAGTGGACACTCAGCCAGTAAGGACCACCCATCTCAGTGAGATGGAGAAATAATTCATGGCCTGCCCAGTTTTTGACAAATTAAAATATATGAGTATGTGAGCAGGCCTTTCCCCCCGTCCCCCGCCTTCCTTTTATGGCAGCATTAAAATACTTTTCAAAACCTGGCCAGCAGGTAGTAGATTCCAAGGCTCTGGTTAACTAGGAATGTTATGCTATAATGAAAAGAAAAATTAGGAACAAAACCCAAACAAACTCTTTGCCCTCTCAAATCTCTGAGGAAGGGTGAGGGAGAGCAGCAGGGCTGGTGGGGACCACCAGGAGGTACTATGGAATAAAGGCAGGGATCAGGTCATTTGTAGGCTTCCACATGCAAACAGCACCCAGGCCCAGAGGGGAACACCCTTCTGCAGTGTCTGGGGTCATCTTGGAGTCACCTTCCTGGCTACCAAGTCCACTTCCTAGGACTGTCCGTCTATCTACCACTCCCAGGGCTTGACTGTCCTACGGATACAACTGTCATGCAAATACCAAAATCCTTGGGAAGAAAGAACTGGAACTGGAAAAAGAGCCTTAGAAACAAAAGAATGTAAGTACTTTTATGGAGAGTGATTTCTGAATCAAATTCTGACCTACAAAACTTATGGTTCCATCCTTTATTTAAGGTAGGGCTATTTAAGCCCTTGTACATCAACACCATCCCCACAACAAAGGAACAAATGAAACCCCAAGGGTCTCAAAAACATGTGCCGCCTACTACTACTACTACTACTACCACCACCACCACCACCACCACCACCACCACCACCACCAAGGCCTTGGGAAGATAACAAACAAGGGAGAAAATTAGCAAAGGGATAGCGTTTAGTGGCATAACCCTGAGACATGGAAGAGAAAAGAAGGCAAGGTCCGTACCTTTCCAAAAACATCTTGATGAGGAGTTAATGCTTCCCCACAAGATGGCTCTCACAGGGTACAGGGAATGTTGGCAAAGGTTGGATGTGGCAACTTGCATGTTTTCAACCCTCTTCTTTTTCTAAAAAGAAAACAGTTCACATCTAATTGTCTCAAAAACGGTGCCAACTGATGAGAGCGCATTTAAAGTGCATGTCACCCAAATGGGATGACAACTACTGAGATGATCATAATTTTTGAGAGAAGATGTGGTCTCCTTTTAGGAAACCTGGGGATTCTGGGTAGTAATTCCATCCATCCCTTGAAATTCCATAATTTCAGGCATCTGCTTTCTTTAGCTTGATGGTCCTACTGTGGGGAACTAGTGTGAGAAATACTTGTGGTCCCTGGAAAACCACTTCTTTTCACAGGAGAGAAACCTACACAGAGCAGCTAGAGTAGTTCTCAAGGTTGAAAGCAAAAGCATAAGCAGCAGCAATACCAGGTCACTCCCCAAACACAACATTCCCCTTGAGGCCAATTTCAAAAAAAGAAGAGAGATGGAGTCTGCATGTGAGAGCACGGCTCTTGGTAAGTGGTTCTCTTTCTATATTCCCAGCAGGATACTGGGTGACGTAGGGGAATTCAGGGGATTTTTTTTTTCCTTCTCATTCCCAATTTGTCCAATGAGAACCTGACCACACTGTTTTGAGTTAGGTGTGGGCAGAGGTGAAATATGTTTTTAAAAACAACCACTAATAGACCAAAACAAGCTAGATGTTATACCTAGTAAGGAGTAAACTATACCTGAAGATTGAAATCAAGCCGTGTGAGGCTGCACAGTAACTTACAGAATCCAAAGTGATCTGTGGAAGACTGAGCAAATCTGATCAGCACTTTCATTTCAAACATGGAGAGCAGGACCATCTGTCCTACCTAAGAATGGGAAAGAACCAGAGGTCTTGGTTGAAGACTGCTCTCCTGTGAAGGCCAGGTGGGCCAGAGATAAGGACACTGTGGTGTCTCTGAGGAAAGTCAGGAGAGGCTTCAGCTATATATGTGGACTGATGGGAGGAAAAAACTTTATGCTGTTTAGAGTCTTTGGGGAGGTACATCATGGTTTCAATAGAAAAATCAGCTGGCTTTAGTCTTAGAAGTTTGTTTCTTAAAAGTTAGAATTCTTTTATGACAAAAACAGGCAAAGGAAATTCATAGGTGGCAAAGTTTCCTAATTCCTAAACAAGGAAGACAACATCAATAAAAGAATGAGTGGAGGAGAGGAAGGGCTATAGCCCTGCCCCAACCCTAAATTTTCTTCTGGACCTTCAAGGCACTTGGAAAGCCAACCAGCCACGAGTAAACAGCACCAGCTGCTACTTCATTCTCTGTGCTGACCAGATAAACTGTTGGGCTAGTACTGGTTCACCTTACAAACAAAAACAAAACAACATACATACACACACTCTCACACACAAATAAATAAAATTTAGGCTAAAAATTCTAAACCAGACCTCTTTCAAATAAACTGAAAGATAAATATCTCCATCTGCAAGGCCAGCTTGCAATTCATCAACAAGCACCAAGTTAGATTTGTGTTTGCTTTTTTAAAAAGAATGTTCAAAGCCACATGCTTCTGAGGGGCAAAAAGCAAGAACTGTATGCCACATCTGAAGCACAGAATTTTCCGGGTCTCCTCCATGGGGAGTACCAAGGTGGCAGTATTTGGGGCCTCAAGGGAAACCTTACCAATAATCTGTCTAGCATGTAACAGCAGGGAAAGCCTCAAGCAAACACAGAACAGTGTGGAAAGAGAGAAGGAAAACCAGGCAGCATTGTGACATCTTCAAGGGGCAAAGCATAATTAGCAACCTTAGATTTAAAAATATTTTTTAGAAAACCGAGTTCTGACAAGATCTCCTAAGAGGACATGAGTATTCCCAGCCACTGCCTGGTGCAGACCCCCTTCTCAGTCCCCGCTGCTGAAAACTGCTATAGGTAGGCTTATCCTCTTTGCCAGAACTTACTTATCAGACAGCCATCCTAGTGTGTGTGCTGGGAGGACAACCTCGCAGAGCCTTGGCACAGCCAAGCGGGTGGTGGCTTCTGCTGACAGGGCACGTGCTCTCCCACAAGGAGGACCAAGACACAGCAGCTGCCCTGGGGGAGCCCTTATGAGGGCTATTCTGGGTGGTGACAACCAAAAAGTGTCACCACACAGATTATAGTACACAGGAGGCTTCTCTGTGCCTAGAATCTATAGGCAAGTATCTTGCACAGCCAGTATATTTCTTCTGGATTTTTTTTTTTTTTTTAAATATCAGGTATTGAACCCAGGGATGCTTAACCACTGAGCTACATCCCCAGCCCTTTTTATTTCTGAGACAGGGTCTTGCTAAGTTGCTGAGGCTGGCTTTGAACTTGCAATCATCCTGGCTCCCGAGTTGCTGGGATTATAGGTGTACGCTGCCCCATTCAGCTCCTCTGGATTTTTTTTTTTTTTTTTTTAAGTCTGGGGCAATGAGATAAAGGTGGTACAGATCAGGTACCTTTTATACATGTCAAGTCTTCTCTAACTGGTTTCACAAATGCTTGTTATCCCTTCCAAAATAAAATGAGAAATACATGCAAAAACGGGGTGATGTGTGCACTGGGTGGTTTAAAGGGAACTCCATCTATTAGGATAACAGGATGAAGTACTGAATAACCATGTGCCATCTGGTCAGTTTGTTTTTTGATTTTGGTTTTGTTCCCCAAAATAAAAGGCAGAGTTTCAGAGCTCATTTGGAAACACTCTTTCAAGCTGTTAGGAATTCCTGACATGTCCCAAACCATTGCCTGTACTTCTGGGGCCACTGTTTTCGGTGTAACAACCTGAGTAGGGCCAGCCCTACCCGTGAGCCTGGGCAGTCACAGATAATGGATGAAGTGGAATCTGGGTTTCCTTCCCCACCCTGACATTCAGACAATCTGTTCTTTGTCCAGGACCTGGGGAAGACCAGGAAGACTGGATGCTGAAAAGTTGTAGACATCCAGCGTAAGGGACTTGAGCACGCTGGGGCAACAGGAGAGGCGGTGCTGGGCACCACAGCCAGTCAGCAGGCAGCTGCCTCGGCAGAGAGGATAAGGTCAGCAGAAGATCTCTTCACCTTCCGTTGATACTTCTGAAGCGGGACCATCTGGAACAGTAAAGCCAGGAATGACAAGGAAATCCTGGAAAAGCTGCCCTTTTCATTTCACTTCCTCTGTGATGCAGCAGGTGACAGGGGCTTTGTGGACAATTAATTCACTTTCTACAAATGGGGCTTCAACACTCATGTAGTAAGCGAACTCCTTAGTGATTTCTTCACTAATTCTTGTCCCCATAACTTACATGATCACTAGAGTTTATAAACGGGCCTACAAAAGGGAAAGATCAATTCTAATGGAAGGTACAGAAAAGGATTCAGGGCAAACATTGCACATGATTGGGAGACATTTGGCACGGCTCAACCACAGGCTCTCTGACTGCTGGTGCATTAGTTAATCTGAGCCTAGTTTCCTCATTTCTCTTAGGGGCTTGCAGGACCTACTTTATACAGTCACTTGAGGACTATACCATCTGATGCTATTTTTTTTTTAACCAGTTAATGGATGAAGCCTACAAAGGGAGGACCTGAATCACTTCCTTTGGGCAAGTTCCACTTCCTCATGTGGAGAATGCTACAAAAATGAAACCTCATTCTACTGGGCACGGGTGTGCCACACAGCAAGGGGTTCTTATACACTCATTGCTCAAACATTCTTAGCAAGTGGGCTCAGGAGCATGAAAGCTTGGCTTTCATACATCTGAACTGTATCCCCTTTTTAAACCCTCATGTCACTAAAATCTCCCCTCTTTTAGAATATGGATACTATGGCCAGAGGAAGACTGGATATGGGTGACTTACCACCAGGCTGGGAGCGGCTTCCTTTGTTCTTCTTTTTTTTCTCCTTCTTTTCCTTTGGCTTAGCTAACCCAAACAGGCGGGTAGAAGTGCACGATGGGGCCTGGCTCTGTCCCTCGGGTAGTCTGTTTGTCTGGCTGGTTGAACTCAGTATGTGAAAGGGCCCCTTATCTTTGTGTGTCCGAGAGATGCTGTTCCTTTTGGGGGACACTGAAAGTTCTGAGTCCAATGACCCTGTTTTGGTTACTGAAGGTGCAGATGGCAGTGAGGACTCCTCAGGATTGGGAAAGAAGGATGGGATCCTCATCAGCTTGGTGTGCTGATGTGAAACCTGCACATATTCAAGAGAAGACATTTTAAGCTGGAGACCATCAGCAGCCCTAGTGCCCATTCAATAGTTACTGGCTGGATCCAACTGGTGTTTACCCACTCCCACTGACTATGTAGAGTTCTGTCCAAAGATTCAGAACTGCTCATTCACTGCTTTCCTCCAAGTAGTCAGTATCCATGAACATGTTAAAAATATCACCTTTGATACCATTAATATCTATTCTACATGTCAGTATCATAAAGAATTAATAGTACCTCTCTGATGGGGCAGCTTAGGAGAGAACTGCCACTCCCAGAGGAAATAAGCACAGCTGCCTATCTCAACACTGACTTACATAAGGATCTAGCTATTTCATAGCAGAGATTACAGATCTGTCTATGTTAGAGGGTAAGTAAAATGAATTGGGCTTACACTGATCCTAGTCAAAGGTTAAACCAGAGATAAAGCCATTGGATCTCAGTTGCCTGGGAACCTTCTGTTCTCAAGGCTGTGCTGATTTTATTGGGTGGGGGTGGAATCCATACTTGGGTCATAAAAAACAACAGAGTCATTTCTTGCTCCCTACCATATGTCTGAAAACTTCTGTAGAAAGTGACCACTGCCCCCACTTTGGAAGATGCCTCTTCAATTTTCTTTCATGGTCCCATGTCAATCACTCAAAGAAACTGGGTAACATGAGTTTTAAAAGCGAAGAGATCTGTGCACACCCAGGCTTTCTATCTGGCACAAGTGTCCATATTCCAGAAGAACTGTGAACCATCACTGAGATAAAGTTGGGAGGCAGTATGCTGAACAACTGAAACCCTCTCCATGTAAACAGCAGCTACCAAAGAGGAAAGGTCTTCAACAGCAGCACAGGACGAATCAGGCCCTGAGAGTCCAGGTGTCTCACCACCCCAAACAAGCAAATCTGTGCAGATAGCCATCTACTGCTGTCTCCTGGCCACAGCACTGCATGTTATGGGGTTTCCTTGGTGTTTCCCTAGCAGGTTACAAGTTCCTTTACGTGGAGGCCAAGCCTGGTTTCTCATGTGGCACAGGACAGAGGATTTGCTCCCCAAATCCTGAATGGCTGACTGCTATTCTCTCAGATATGCTGAGGCTACTTACTTAGCCCATGTTGGTGCTGGCTGAGGAAGTTCAAGTGAGTTCAAAGGGTTCACTGACTTCCCTGGCCCAAACCCCTGAACATGTCCATCTTCCTCTTCAACTTCCTAAAGATGCAAAAGGCAGATAAAGACATTTCTTCCCCAACCCCATCTCAGAGTAGAGCAAAGACTGTAAAAACAGGGATTCTCTCTCTGCTTGCTTTTTAAATGATGCTTAGTTAAGAATGTCAGCCATTACGTGACTTTCCTAGTACAGGTAAGGAAAAGCCCTCTCTCCTGGCTGGACAGAGACTCTTATTACCTGACAGAAGTCCCGTTCCATCTGCCTCTGGCTGAGCCGTTCCGCATCCCGCCGCAGTTGCTCTTGTTCTCTCTCCAGCTGTTTCTGGGCAGCACGCAACCTCTCCAGGTCACACTGGTATGTTCCCTTCTTTTGCTGGAGCTCCTCTTGGTCCTTCTCCAAGTCCTGCTGCCCGCGCTGCACCTTCTCCTCGCGCTCAGCCAGTCGAGCCTCTCGCTCCCGCAGTTCTCTTTCCCGGGCCTCCCACTCACGCTCCCTTCTGCGCTTCTCCTCCAGGTGCTGTGCCTGCTGCTTCTGGAGATTAGCCAGGTCCTGGCGCTGCTTCTCCAGGCTGCGCTGCTTCTCCTGCTCGATAAGGGAGCTGGGGCGGGATGAGCTCCTAGTGAGTGCTCTCTCGTTCAGCACCAGCTTCTGGTCCTCAATGTAGGTGTCTTGCTGTAACACCACACCCTGAGGAAAGCACACAGCAGACAGCCATGCAACTCTGACCCAGAAGAGCAGCGTCCTGCTGATTTCATACCAGGGGGCAGTATGGGAGACTGACCCTTCCATTTAAAAAAATATTTTTAGCTATAGTTGGACATAGTACCTTTATTTTATTGATTTATTTTTATGTAGTGCTGAGGATTGAACCCAGTGCCTCACATGTGCTAGGCAAGTGCTCTACCACTGAGCCACAATCCCAGCCTCCTTCCCATTGTGTTTTAAGGGTCTGATATATGATAATAAGATGCTCTAGAACGACAAAGGTGCAGGAACTCACTTTCATGTCAAACCTGGTCACATACTTTCTAGAGTCACTTCCATATGCCTCCATCCCTAGGGTGCAGAGAGTATGTATATACTGCAGGTGGGAGGCTGACTCTTCAAGGAAGGAAATGAGCAGGATTCAAGGATATAACAGCACACAGAGGTATGGAAGTGGAAACTTTACAATTAGAGACTATCTGGAGTGAAATGCTCTCCTAAGTGCATGTAAGCACCCTGTGTCATTAAGCAGGACCCACAGACAACCAGCTGTTCATCAATTCTAGTCTTGGAAGGTTGATGGTGCTCCAACCACTGGATTTTGTAAGTCTCACCTTAACAGCCAGTCTTCTCTAGGTCGAGGCTCCCATTTACTCATAAAGCAACACAAAAACCTCAAGATTCAGGTCAACAAAAATCTCTCTACTCTTGTTCTCTAAACAAGAAAGTGCACAGACAGAAGATGAAGGCATGTACCTGCAGAGTGCTGAGGAGTTCATGGAGATGAACAATGCTCTGGAAAACCTGCTGCAAAGGAACAAAATGACTTCATGAATTTCAGAGTCCATCACACCAGATGGCATGACATCCTTACAATATAAGAAGATACTTCTATTAAAATGTATCATAAAGCTTCAACTATTAAAAATGACTAGCAAAAATGATATGTAGACCAATGTAACAGAATAGAAAGTCTCAGGACGAACCCTAAGAATTTAGTATATAGCTGGGCATGGTGGTGCATGCCTGTTATCCCAGTAGCTTGGGAAGCTGAGGCAGGAGGATCTTGAGTTCAAAGCCAGCCTCAGCAATGGCGAGATGCTAAGCAAATCAGTGAGACCTGACTCTAAATAAAATACAAAATAGGGCTGGGGATGTGGCCTAGTATTTGAGTGCCTCTGAGTTCAATCCCTAGTATCCTCCCTCCTGCCAAAAAAAAAAAAAAAAAAAAAATTTATATATTAAAAAAAAGAACTGAGTATATATGTAGCATATCTAATCTCCAGAGAAGGAAAGGAAATCCAATTAATTTTTCTGAGAAAAGCGGCCAAATTTCTGGAAAACATTAGGTTGGGACCTTGGTTCACACACACAAAAATATTCAAATAGATGAATATATTAAGGGTAAAAACGGAACCATAAAAGAGCTATAGGGGAGGCTTTTTCAACATCAAAGTAATGAAAGAAACCACACACAAACATGAAGGACAAACTTTAACACAAATTCAAATGAAAAAAAATCTTTGATTTACAAAAGGCTCTCATAAATCACTAAGAACAAAAAGAAGAAAAAAAAGAATAACTCAGTACAAAAATGGGCCAGAAACACAAACCAGCAATTTACCAAAGAAATACAATGGTCAATTACATACAATATCAGCAGCAATTCAGGGGCTGAGAGTATAGCTCAGAGAGTAGCAGAGTACTGCTTAGGATGCCTGAAGCCCTGGGTTTAATCTCCAGCATGAACATAAGAACAATAATTAATAATTTATTTGAAATTAAATAAATGCAAAATAAAATAAAGAAAGGAAACCTGGATTTATCAAACCAACAAAACGTTAATTTAAAAAATGCTAACATCCATGCTGGGGAAATTAAGATTAAAAAATGGATTCTACTGAGGGGTAGAGTATGGTATCGTGTAACAGTTCAGACAGCAATCTGGCATGTTGATGAAGTAATGAAAAAACTATGCAAACAGTGTATGTACAAGGATGTTCCTGGCTGCATTATTTAAAAAACAAAGTGGGCTAGGCACATTGGTATATGCCTGTAATCCCAGACACTTGGAAGGCAGGGGATCACAAGTTAGAGACCTTGACCCAAATTTAAAAGAGAGAGAGAGAGAGAGAGAGAGAGACAGAGAGAGAGAGAGAGAGAAATAACTACTAGGAAGATTAAATAAATTATGGTACATGATACACTGATTAATATGCAGCTCTTCAATACCAGGCTTTGTACAAACATGCCTTGGGAAATGCTTCTAGGATGTGTTGAGAGAAAAAAGAGGACGAAACCCAGAGGTACTTATACAAATTGTATAAAACTATTTTCACAACACTCATACACAGAGACATATCAAATAGAAGAAAATGTTGGAAATATAAGCAAACATTTATCACAAGTTATTACTCAATGGTGGGATTATACTTATTCGATAAATTTAAAAACAAAACCCCAAAACGTAGTTACCAAGCATAGTTATTTTCAAAATAGTTTTTATTCCTTATTTAAGTTTACTCTAGAAAGACAGAAGATCTGCCCTAGCTGCCCACTATAGTATGTACTTTATACTGGAATGCCTCAAAAACAAAGTAGTCTTGCCACTTCAGGAATAAACACACCAAAATAGGATGCATTCAGGTGACTGCTATATTAGACTTTATGCCAACAAACAAAATACAATAGGGTTCATTTTTGGGGGTGGGGGGGGTGAGGAGGAATGATTTCCTTTAATTTAAAAATTCAAAATGAAGCTCTGCAGGGATTTAAGCTCTTATGTTAAATGCAAGAAGACAGAAACTAAAAGAATATCCTTGAGAGGTGCTCCCTGAAACCCAACTATCACAACCAGGTGTGGCGGTGCATGCTTGTAAACTCAGTGACTTGGGAGGCTGATGCAGAAGGATCACAGTTTGAGGTCATCCTTGGTAACTTCACTAAACCCTTAGTAATCTTAGCAAGACCCTGCCTCAAAATAAAAAAAAATTAAAAATACTGTGGATGTGCCTTGGTGGTTAAATGCCCCAGGTTCAATCTCTGGTACGTCACCCCCGCCCATGAAAAGAAGCTACTATCACTTTATCTGATTCTAGTCTGCTTACACACAAAGGTAGAGGTTCAGAATAAGCTAATCGTGGACACAGCTGTGACTCTGAAGCTGATTTTATCCAAAGGAGTCAGGGAGGGTCTGAGGGACAGCAGTGCTGGTACCCTGCAGGGTCAGGCAGAGAGCTCAGCTGAGGGCAGTTACAGGAGACTAGCATCAGGGTCAGACTTCCACCTGGGAGGACCCTAAGGCTACTTTACTTTGCTCCTTCACATACCATACTGCATGAAAGACAGTGTTCAAAGAAGCAAATTCAACTTTAGTTCTTGAAAGAGGAAAATATTACTATGCAGTAAGTTAAATTCCCATGTTCAGACTTTTGACTTTTGGGATAAGGTTTGTGTTATAGGAAACGTTAGTACAAATTGTACTATGTGAACTTGGACTAAAGAAAATCACCAATAGGGCTTCACAGCCCTGTGTAGAGAAAGCTGAAGAAAAGCAAGAAGCTCTTAAGGACAGAGAATTGGAAATAGCCTTAGGACAATACTTTCACTGGCAAAATTCCAAGATAGTGCCTAAGGCCGAGGAAATGGCAGAGGAAATGGACAATTGTATGGTTTTCATAAATAGATTATAGCCAGGAGTTAGCTTGTTTATAACAGCAAAACAAAAAAGAATATTCTTAACAATGATTAGAAATACATATTCTTTTATATAGTTCATAATGTCCTTACCTCACTGTTTCTTTTAAGCATAAATACCAGGTTAGCATTTCCACCCTTAAAACAAAAAATACACATTTAAAAAATGATGATCTTGATGCAAAAGTTATATGCAATCTGTTTCTAAGTTACACTGTAGTTTCCTATTTTTTTCTTTTCTACTCTCACTGGAAGGTAGTATAGTTCTAAGGTTCAACTATTTATTACTAAAGTCATATAAAGAGATCAGGTTTGTTGGGGGGGCTAAAACAAACCTCTTAATGAAACTGGTCCTGGCAGAAAGATGGTGGAATTAAGAATGTAAACAAAGTGTTTACACTCTAAAATAAATCTAAACCAGGGAGGACAAAGCGCCAATGATGTGGGATTCTCAATTGTATAGTCTTTTTGAATACTGTGCTTTCCCTCAAAATAGAATTTTACTAAAAGTAGAAAGTCAAGCATCCAAAATAAGATTAAAGTAGAATAATTTTAAAAGTTTTGAATTCTGAGGAAAGTGCCAAAGAGGTTCAGATATAATGTGTTCTAGAAATAAATACCTTTTTCAGACCACTATCTGATTCTGTTCTCCTAAGATCTTGCCCATCATCTCCTTCTTCCTTCTCACCTCCTAAATAAAAAACAAAGCTGTTTTTAGTTGTTGTTTTTAAGTTGTGAAAGAGACTAGCCAAGCAAAGAATATGATATAGATAATTTAGGGATATGATATTTCTGAATTGTATTAATACTTCCCCTGCCCTCCAAAGGAAAATCTACTTGGAGTCTAAACCATTATTAGTAATTTCACTCATGCAAAAGCCCTAGAAGCAGGAAGGAAAACCAAGTAAGGTTGAATATCCCTGCCTTGTCTAAATGCATGGGATCATAATGTTTTGAACTTTGGGTTTTTTTTTCCAGGTTTTGGGATATATGCATGTTATGAGTTATCTTGAGAACAGGACCATGCCAAAACACAAAATTCATTTGTTTCACATATACCTTTATACACAGACTGAAGGTAATTTTATACAATATTTTTAGCATGCCTATGTTCTGACTATCCACTAAGTGTGGATTTTTTCATTTGTGGCATCATTTCAGCACTCTAGAAGTTCTGGATTTTGGACTTTGAATTTGGGGGTTAGGGATGCTCAATCTATATTATTATTTCTTTGGCTATAGCTTAGCTGAGATCACAGAAGAATATTTTTTGTTAGTCAAAATGAACATGACTGAGTTTTTGTTTTTGTTTTTTGAGAAAGAGAGAGAGAATTTTTTAATATTCATGTTTTAGTTTTCGGTGGATACAACATCTTTATTTTATTTTTATGTGGTGCTGAGGATTGAACCCAGCACCCTGTGCATGCCAGGCAAGCGCGCTACCGCTTGGGCCACATTCCCAGCCCAATGACTGAGTGTTTTAGAATGCCACTAAAACATTTATTGATTAAATAGGACAGACAAGATGGAGCTACCAGAATACAAGTCATTTTTAGTTGTGTGGGAGAGTCAAGGACTGCTTACCTTTGGAAGCACTCATCTGATGGCTGTCAAACCCTCCAAAGGTCTCCGCTCTCCGGGGCAGAGAAATAGGGCCAGCCATGACTTCTTGCTCAACAGGGCTGCTGATGGCTTGCCCAAGTACACCTCCCAGGCTTCCACTCACCAAACCCTGAAGGATCTCCACTGGAAAAAAGGTAACACACAAAGCTGACCTTCAGTTTTTCAATGAGGAGGAAAACATGTCATGGTAATGCATGATATGTACAGGGAGCAGGATGAGGATGTTCTCAGAGTGACTAGGTGACTTTTCTGGTCCAGAATGACTCAGTTCAGGGTATACGTTTTAGCTGGATTCTATGGAAACATTTCAAGATGAACCTTCAACTTTACTTTTATTAAATCTGGGAAATTTGACAGTTTAAGGAAGGCAGAGTAATTTACTGGAAGGAGCATGGCTTCTGGAATTAGACCCAAAGATAATCCCTGAAAGCAAGGTAGGTCAATGTGAAAACATCAAGTAAAACTGGTGGGGTTTTGGTCCCTCTGATGGCAAGGGGTTCAAGGGGCTCGAGGAACCTAAGCATCTGACTTCTCAAATCTCACCAATTTGGGCTCTTTTCTAGAGCAGAGCCTACAGAAAGGAGAAAGTGCTAAAAGTTGAGCAGAAGAGGGACAACAGGAATGAAAGAAAGAAGGTCCTGAGAGAATCAGAGGCAGGAAATATCATAACAAGCATTACATTAAAAAAAAAAAAATCCTACAAAAGCTGGGCACTGTGGCAGCCTCAGCAACTTAGTCAAAATAAAAAGGGTTGGGGCGGGTAGCTCAGTGACAGAGCACCCGTAGATTTGATCCCTGGTATTACAACAAAACCACACAAAAATAAGAGAACTACCAAGTAGAAAAGTTATCTGAACCTCAAAGTTTAAAAACTAATTTCATATAAAAGTACTGAAGCTGAATCCCATATAAAGTTAAGAAATGGAGGGAGGGTACAGAACAAGGGGAGTAACTTCCTTAAAGACAATAATAAAAAAAAAAGCATAGCAGAAAGATTATACAGAAAACAAAAATGCTTAAACACGTTGAGAAAACAAACAAGATGTGAAAAAACCTAAGTCAAAATTAGAAGAAGAGATGAGGTGGCAACACTCACAGAATTGAAACAAACAAACAAACAAAAAAACCCCGGCTCAACAGGTAAAAAAAAAAAAAAAGGAATAAATATTAAAAAGATGAAGAGATAAAAAGTATTAAAAGTAAAGTAATAAATACTGAAAATATGCAAGATGGACGATCACTTGGGCAAATGCAGTTCCTAGAGAAGTAAACCACCCAGGGAACAGGAAGAATACCTGAAGTCTGTGATTCAGGAATGCCTCTGTTTTGAAACCTGTGACCACATCAAAACAGACACTCAACCAAAACAACCAACAAGAAAGCAGTCTAATACAACTACTTGGACTTAAAAAAAAAAAAAAATCCTTTGGTCATCTAAGCAAGTGACTTCCATGGGAAAATCAAATAGTCATCAGCCTCTGAGAGCAACACTTTATGCCAGTACAAAACAAAGTAATATTGGAGAAAACTAACACATCCAAGGGAAGAAAAAAACAGGCCAAGAATTTTACATCCAGCAGAAGAGATTTTCAAGTACAAAATGCTCAAGTGATTACTGACATGCACGAATTCAGGATATTATTCTCATAAGGCTTTCCTAAGGTATCTCCTGGAGATAAGCTTCAGACAACCATAATGAATAGAGGGACACTGACCTAAAGACTGATGGTAAGCTTTAATTTTATGAGCTTGTAGAACAAGAGTATGAAAGGAGAGCTCAGTATAAATAGTTACAAGCTGACAGTATAGACACAGAACACCTACTTAAATACACAGGGAGAATGGGGCTAATGTACAAAAACTATGTTTGGTAGCAGGAGTACCAGTATTATTTATTTGACACTGATGTGTGTGTTAAAGTAGAATAAAGACAGTAAGTAAATACAGGATATTCAATTCTATGACGCATCTTCGAGAATGAAGATTCATAAGGTGGAAGAAAGGACAGAGATGTAATATGAGACATTAGGTTAAAAAATCCCTATACTTCACAATTTGATTAGATACATCAACATGAATTCATATAAATATATTCACCCAACTCTGTCCACTGAAAAAGCCCAAGCTAGCAACAATGACATATTGAGTAATATTGACCATCCCCAGTGTCCATATTATAGTTTTAAAATATTATTTTCCACTAAAAAAAATTAGAGCTCTTGGGAAAATGGTTGATTCCTATCTGGGACAGAAAACAATCAAGATGAGCCTGGACCATCTTACTCTACCAGATAGTAAAAAGAGTTCTCAGATGACTATGGTCATGCTACATAATGCAAAGTCAAACAAAGAGATGCTCACTTGCAAACATGGGACACTCTGAGCTTTAAATGACATTGAGAATTGCAATAACTTGGAACTCAGTGAGCATGTTTAAAACCATGAATCCTCCATATTTATTTTATTTATTTTTGATTGAACATCAGTGATCCATAGGCTCTACCACTGAGCTATACCCCAGATTCAACAGAAAATGGCTCAATAGGTGAAAAAAGGAATAAATATTAAAATAATAATATTATTAAAAAATATTATTATTAAAAATAATAATAATATTAAAAAGAAAAAAAAGTATGGTTCCTCCCTTCAGAAGGACCATAAACCAATTTACTAACTTTGGAAACTGATAAATAAAGGGAGGGGGAAAAAAACCCCAAGAATTTACCCTATTTTTCCTATGTTACCAACTCCTCCCCCCAAAAATAACAGCAACATAAAAGGGGAGTCAATTACATATTTGGTGCCTCCTGATAAAGAATGCAACACTACAAAAACACAGCTTGCCAAAAGGAATCAATTCTGAGCAATTAAGCCTCTGAACTCAGCTGTGAATTTGAAGGAAAGAGAGGCCAGAACTGCAGTATGAATAATACTCACCTTTAGTTTAAACAGCTCAGATGATTCAAACACAGACTATATACAAAGAAGGGGACAGTGTGTAATTACTAGTGAGGGCAGAAATATCTGCTCCTATTGGAAGGAGGGAGATGTGATGGGAACAGGGTACCTGGAGGGGCTTTTAGGGTGTTTGGCTACATTGTACTTCTTGACTTGTATAAGGATGCTCAACTGATAATTGAGCCAAGGGTTTACTCTAATTTTCTGTATCGGTGCTTTATTTTACAATAACACAGTAAAAACTGTTAACAGTGTTTAATCCACATTGGGAGAGGCCAAAGAAGGAGTAATACTAAATGGTAGTTACCCTCATTTATTGCACTTTTCATTAAAGGTCCACCTTTGAGAGCCTCCTCTGTGTTCGAGCGGAAGAGAGTTCTAGGGCTTTGAGTTGGGGAGCAATCCTCTGGCAAGGGAGTGCTGCACTCAGTCATGTCCCGGAAAATCATCTCCTTTTCTTCCAATAAGAGGAGGATCTGTTGGTCCTTCTGCTGAAGTTGTTCTTTAGGGTGGATGGAGAAAACTCATTAGTGATTTGTTTAGAATTTTAAGATGACTAAAACATGAGCTCCACCTTGTGGTAATTTATGGAAAAGGCCAAGACAGAAAATGGCTTCCTCTACCCCTTTTCATTTTTTTAAAAATATTTTTTAGTTGTTGATGGACCTTTATTTTATTTATTTGTATGTGGTGCTGAGAATTGAACCCAGTGCCTCATGCATGCTAGGCAAGTGCGCTACCACTGTGCCACAATCCAAGCCCCTACTCCTTTTCATTTTGCAGGCAGTTATCAAGTTTATAATCTATAATTGCTACCTGGAAGATCACCTTGGAATATCTAACCAAATAAGTCTGTACTTTGTGTTTCTGCTCCCTTATTTGGCTTTTTATTTTTCAACCCATTTCTCTCCTGATTTGGCCCCACCATTCAGCAAACTGCTTTCATTACTGAATTCAAAGACAGCTTTTCGTTTTTCGTGGTGCTGGTGATTGAACCTTGGATCTCTAGCATTCTAGGCAAGCATTCTGCCTCCGAGACACTTCCTCAGATCTTTTTATTCTGTATTGAGACAGAATCTCACCAAGTTGTCCTGACTGGCCTTGAATTCGTGGTTCTTCTGCCTCAGCCTCCTAAGTAGCTGGGACTACAGGTGTGTGCCACAGTACCCAGCCAGAGATCCTTTAGTTTAGTTTTAGGTTTTTTTTTTTTTTTTTTTAGTTGTACATGGACAAAATGCCTTTATTTTATTCATTTATTTTTATGTGGTGCTGAGGATCAAACCCAATACGTCACATGTATTAGGCTAGTGCTCTGCCACTGAGCTGCAGCCCCAGTCCTAGTTTTAGGTCTTTTCCAACAGATGATTACTTCCTCCTTTTGAGACAATTTCCCTCCTTCACTTGAATACATCAGTTTTATTCCTATCACTCTTTCTCAGGGCACTTTATGGATCTGCCATCTGCCAGGGAGTGGCATAGCTGGGTTCCTCCCATGGTTCCAACTTCTGCTGTTTTCTATACTTTTTACACTTTTCTGCTTGGGGATCTCACTCCCATGGTTTTAATTACCTCCTGTATGCTAATAATTCCCAACAAGCATTTCAAATCCTGTTCTCTCTTTGAGTGTCAAACCTCTGAGCCCCACTGTCAAGTGGCCATCTCTAATGAGATGGCTTATTTTCAGGATGTCAGAAACCAATCTGTTTTCTGGTCTTGCTATCCTACTCTTTCCTTTAGCTTATGGTCTCTTCCTCAGCACTCCCAATCCTTCAGGTTACCAATTTAGAGTCCTGAGAGAGATTTTGTCTCCTCACTCTGTTCCATCATTCACATCCAGTTGACCAAGTTTTTTTTTTTTAAAGAATTTTTTAATATTTATTTTTCAGTTTTTTTGGCGGACACAACATCTTTGTTTGTATGTGGTGCTGAGGATCGAACCCAGGCTGCACGCATGCTAGGCAAACGTGCTACCACTTGAGCCACATCCCCAGCCCCTAGTTGACCAAGTTTTAATAATCTTATTTCCTATTCACATCAGTCCTCCATCTTATTTCTCACATATCTTGACCTAAGAGTCTCCAAACTGATCTATTACCAGTGGACCCCCACTCCCTCCAGCAATTGTCTTAATGGGTTCCAACACATATTAAAACTATTTTTTAAAATTTTATCATTAAGCCCTTGTTTCCTTTCAAGACCTGGTTCCTTCCCAGCTTAAGCTGTTGTCTTGTCAATTAGCCTTGACCCTCCAGATACCTCAAAACTGTCATTCTTTGCAGATACATCCAATCCCTTATCTAATTCAGGGAGATAATTTTTTTTTCAGATGTAGCTCAGGCATTAACTTCTCTGTAACTTATCAGAGGCAGATGAGCAGATCTCCCACACTTTATATGTGTTTATGGGTCTCATAACCACTTTGTGGCCTGTCATTCCCTTATGTCTACATTGTTGGAGTGTGAGTTTCCCCTAGTATCTAGTAGGACACCTAGCCAGGTGCCTAACAAATGTTAACGTTATCCTTGTCATCCTAATCATTTGATATGTAAGATAAAAACTTGATAAAATTGGCTCCAGCCTAAACCTGTCCATTTTTTTCCCTTCAATGAAACAGAATGCTATCCCTTTATACAGCTTAAAGGACTAACAACACCTTAGTGTTTACATTTACTTGACTTTCAGCCTGATTTCTACTCAAAGCAGTCTTTACTTAGGAACATGCAATAAGCCATGTGAAGGGGATGAGTATCAGGTCCTTCTGTTTATCTCATCCTGATAGGAATTATAATTTTGGCTCAGTCACTAGCTATACATTTGACTCTAGATTGTTTGGCCTTTGGGGTCCTCAGTATCTCACCTGCACAATAAGAAATAAAATATTTGTCTTGTAGAGTACTGATAAGAAAAAGCAGATAATAAATAGTGGTCAAACATGATCAATAAGTACTTTTCTTCCCAAACCACCTCACTACTCATTTATGAACGTATAGATGACTGAGAAAGCCAGGACTGACAGGAAGATTAACAGGAGGATTATGTTCCTCAGATACCTTTCTTCCTTTGCTTTAATCTTAGATGTGACCATGAAATTTGGTAAATTCTCTGTGATAAACACAAAGAATATCATCAGGGTCCAGGAATACTGATGCTAAAAAGACAATTAACATTCTCTTGATCTAATATTGGACCATTCTTATAGCCATTCTTTGCCAAGACTGTTTTGTTAGGAACTCTTCATTTCTCTGTTGTCAAGGCCTGCTGAGATAGCTCTGGAGCTGAGGAGCAGCCAGTACCTCTGGAAACCACTAACAGTCTTTTGCAATCATAGATTTTCCACAGACAAAGGCCCTGGACCAGTGACCAACAGTTACCTTTTAACTCCCGGGCTTTGGTATCCAGCACTTTCTTTTCTTCCTCATTCTCACTAGGAATTCCTTCATCTTCATCTCTGTTCCTAATAAAATCAAAAGAAAAGACAAAACAAAAAATTCCTAAGGTATCAATTACTCTGATTACTGCCTGATCTATTATGAAATTACAGAGTTATCAAGAGGTCTAGGAAGGGTGGGCCCTAGTGTTTCACTTACAGTGTATTGATTGTGTCCTGAATGATCTGAATCCAGCTGTTTCGTTCCTCTTTGGAGCTGGCATGGACCTCTACCATCTCTGGATCTTTTATTCCCATACTGATCAGGAATAGACCTTTCTCCTCATGTGCCACTTCTCTTACGATCAGCTTCTTTAAAGAGATCACTGTTGATTTCTGGTCCTAGAAAATGGGGAAGGGCAAATATAAGATATGTATACAATGTTCTAACTTTTAAGAACAACTCTTATGTAAGAGAAGACCAGATACTGTTTAAGTGCGTATGGATTAAAAGAATAATGGCAATTTTAGGATAAAGATAAATATATTACTATTTCATTTCAATTTTAAAAAACAGAAAAAGATTTCCAAAAAGGAGATGATAGTCTATAGCTATAAAGCTTCTAGTCATGTTTTTCACATAATGACTCCAGGTTCCCCACAGACATATCACACATGAGCACCACTTATGAGATCAAATCATGAGAATCACTTCAGTGACAAATTTCTATTCAAATCATCAAACATTCTGGGCAATAAAAAGGATTGTGAGAGAATAGAAAAATAATTTTGGCAGTGGGAAGGAACAACAGAAAATCATGAGGCTATGTAAGAAATTACAGGAATTGATCCTGAGCCATTTAATTTTCAGAGGGTGGGTGAACCATGAGTTAGTGATTATACTCCACACCTAACCTAGTTGTTTTGGATAGTATTAATTCCAAGCAGAAGAAAGTAACAATTCAGCTTACCAATGATGCAAAGATGTACTTCTGGTCTTTTTCTTGAAGGAAAACTAAAATGTCAGTGAGAAGAACTGCTTGGACCTCTGAAAAGCAGCAATGGAGAAAGATAAGAGGGAACAATGATCACTAAATAGTTAACTACAGCCAGAAGGGTTTTTACTGAAGGAGTTTCAGTCATACACCCCACAAGGGTAAACTATGGTCTGAGATCACACTCTTCCTCAATGCAGCAGTTTTACAGTTCCGTAGGACTAGTCCCAGTCACTAGATTTCTAAAGGCATTTAAAAATGGGGTTTATCACCAAAGCCTTATCTTGGAAAAGTTTAAATACTCAGTCCTGAAAAGATACATTTTAGAGGGCAAGATTTTAAGAATGCTTTTAAGAATAAAGTTTTAAATTTTTATTTCAACCAATGTTAAACAGCAACCTAGAGCAACATTTTCCACAAAATTCTCACATTATAATCTTTCTCAACTTATGATTACAGTCATGGGAAACAATAGCCATGAAAGTTGATATACAGAAGTATCTAAGTCTAACAAAAAGTAGATTTCTTCTGTGCCCCCAAAAGAACAAGAAGGGCCTCTGCAGACACTCTCTGGTATCATAAGTACAAGTGAATACAGAGGTCTGTTCCCAGCTCCCATAGGCAGTAGTCCTCTTCAATGTCTTTGTGATAACAGCCTTCTCTTCCTTTTTATTAAAACATATACATATGCTTGGCAGATGTGAGGCCCTGGCTTTCAACTGCAGCCCCTCCTTTCCCAAACCAAAGCCAGATTAACATCTCTTAACTGGTTGCAAGAATTAAACACATAAAAACAAAACAACAACTTCCCCAAACTCCACAAACTCTTGCTTTGAGTAATCTTCTAGGACTACAAAGTGACATTTTTCCATTACTCTCTTAAGGACAGCTTGACATCTCTGAGCCATCTACTGAGGGCTCATAGGTTGTCCCTTACATATCTTTACTCTAGAAAGTGAAGCCTATGATTCCTCGGGAAAAGGATGGAAATGATTTGTGCAGCTCCCTCCTGGCCTTGTCTTAAACCTCTGCCAAACCAGAATCCCCTTTCTGTGAAATTCACTTCATAGTCATAAAAAAATAGAATGAAGGATGTCCGTTTTTAAGGAAGGTCTAATTTTTCAACTTAGACTATAGTAATTTTACATAAACTATCATTAGGTTTGACACATTTATTTGTCTGAAGTTTAATTTTAGATAATTCACGTGTTTGAAAAAACAAAACACAAGTTTCAATTTTATTGAATCCTGACATTTATATGATTGGTGTCTATGTATCAGAGAAAAACAATCCACCCTTTTCAAAAGTACTCAACATAGTACTGGCTGGTTTTGGCACAAGTTCACTTAGGAGTGAAAATGACTAAACACCAATTCGTTCTCCAGCAGATGCATTTCAAGCCAGAAAATCTATCCTTATGACACTGGCTTGACCACAATTTTTTTTTTCAATAGTTGGAATCCATTAGTTTTTATTTTGAGAATCAATCAATAAATTGCTATGCAAAGGAAAGAATATACTGCGAGATCCAGAGAGCAGTGGCTTTAGGAAATCCAGGTCCTTACAAGAGTGTGCAGATATTTTTGAAATGTCAGCCTGCTCAAAAGACAGCCTCAAGGGTGAGTTTGGAAACAGTCCTGAGGCAGAGCTCTTCGAACATCACAGGACATTAGGGCTGGAAGGGAGGAGCTTGATTCAAGTATATCACAGAACAGTGAAATGCACAGCTGTTGGTGGCACAAGAGACATTTCTTTTCTGTGATTACCCTGTCCTTATCTTACATGTCCTCTACTGCAGGGCAGGCCTGGATTAGCACTTCCCTGAATCACAACCATCTCCTGATGCCTCCATCACCAGTCTCTTTTCACACTCAACTCTACACTCCATCTAGTCACTGTGCTAAAAAATGTCTAATATATCCCTTTCCTTTTAAAAACCCCTCCATTGGGCACCCATCCCTGACCCACATATGTCAAGAGTGGCCACTGATGCCTCGGTGTGTACTATGCTCCTCATTACAGTGCAGCTCCAGCAGTTTTCTTCAGGCCTATTTTCCATTCTTCCCTGTCACTCACTGTGCAATCTGTTTGAGAGCCTGGGCTGTCTACTTCTCCAATTCCATGTTTCCACACTTGCTAGTCCCCACCACCAGGAATAATTCCACTACTACCCACCCTTTTCTCTGTTCCAGCACGTATCAGATTCGATAGCAAGTATCTCTTTCCAAGTAGTTTTGTTTTGATCCCAGATTCATTCATGGTTGAAAACAGTTGACTGCCTGGGGCTTCTGTAATACTGTTCCAAGCATGGTGAGACTCTATGGTAAGACTATGGTAAGGACTCCTCTGATAGCAGTTACCTACATCATTATATCTTAAAGATGAGAGAACATTTCTGGTTGATATGAGTTAAACTTACCTTTAAGGTCTCTGAAGCTGCAAGGCCCTCTAACATCTCTTGGGAACAAGTGTTGTGTTTTCAATCTCACAGATGCTGACTGAGTTCTCCCTCCTTGTAACTTTTTTTCCACAGGCCCTAATCCCACACTGGTCATTCCTCTCATAAGAGAATGCATCTTCCTTAACTGCTTGCACATTTGTATTAATTTTTAATTTTCCCCTTTATTTTTTAAAATCTTATTTTCCATTTTCCCTGACTGCATCATTTCCTTGTTTACTTAATTTTATTTCATATGATTTTTGCAAACTATTTCCAACCAGGCTTTTTTTTTTGGAAGGGGGTACCGCGGATTGAACACTCAACTACTGAGCCACATTCCTAGCCCTGTTTTGTAGAGCCAGAATCTCATTGAGTTGCTTAGCAGTTCGCCATTGCTGAGGCTGGCTTTGAACTTGCAATCCTTCTGTCTCAGCCTCCTGAGATGCTGGGGATTACAAGTGTGTGCCACGGTGCTCGGCTCAACCAGTCTTTTTTGATCTAAAAATCACAATTAAATGATTATTGCTCCTGAGTGATGTTTGGACATAGGCTCCAGAGGAAAAAAAAAAAAAAAAAAAAAACTGTGGTGAATTTTTCCAATAAAATAGTTGGATTTTCTCCTTAGGCACATAGTCAGACACAAGTAAGCTGAGCCTTACCTTTCAACCTTCCAGCAGCACTCTTCAGAAACACGCTTCCATCTCTTACCAGCTTCTTCCGCTTCAAATCCTCCTTGGCAAACATCTGACCACTCTTCATCCTCATGATTGACTTGCTATCTGTCTTTGTATAAATCTCATTGAGACGCACTTTCTTTTCATAACTTGCCACTTTGCTGTCTACAGCTCCAATTACATCCTTCACCAGGTTCAAGGACTGAGTTAGGTCTTCTTGCTCTGCTTCGTTGTCTTTGGAACAAAGAATAATTATGCTATAATGGCTTCCTTCCAGACTAGAGTAGAAGGGGAGGGAGTCCTGCCTTTTTGTTCCACTTCATCATTCACCCTCTGTGGTTAGGCTATCGGAGTGCAGACAACACGCCAGAGGTCACATGCTCCTCTCTCTTGCATTTTTAAGTCTAATACTAAGGAAGGTTAGCAGTTCTCAATAATACAGATAATATGAACTTATATCTCTGTTCAAAATAAAAGAAACCCTACATTTTAAGTAGGGAGGGCTAGGAAGGAGCAACAAGTTATTTATTTCTTTATTTTACCAAATCTTTAACATAGCTAGCTAGCTTGTAATCTTTAATGTTAATGTAAATGCTTAGGAGAACCTAAGACGATAAACCAGCATGCAGTGATTACATGAGAAGCAGCAGCAGTTCTAGCACTCATGGGAAGAACTGGTGGAACTGTCTGACAGTATAGTGATCAGGGAAATTAGCTGCTCAGGGCTCTGAACTCTTTGGAATCAATAACTCCCTTTTCCTTCCTGTTATCATCCATCCTAAGTCTGGTGACATAACATTCCAAGTTTTCACTAAAGAAAACTGTTTTCAAGATAAAGCACAGGCTCTCTTTTAGACGTACTGCAATATGAAACAGCTTTCTATGGTGGTCTCTAGCGCTACAGGATAGAATTTGGTCAACAGTGCAATGGCATATAAAACTGAGTTAAAAAGGAGACTCACCTTTGGTACATTGCAATATTCTTTGGAACAAAACTGGGTACTTAGTGATCCGCTGGGTTACAAGTAATATGCACTCTGGGATCCCAAGTCTCCTTACCACTGAGCTGCTCATCTTCTTCTGCAAGGGAGTAAACAAACTGTTAGGAACTTCTGCACAAGGAAGACTGCAGCTAAAACTGACAGTGATGTATTGCTCTTGATGGAGATTTTCATGTTTCACATTAATACCTTTACAAAGGCCTGAAAACGCTTATCCTTTGTATAAAGATCTTTGAAGTAGTTTACGGATTGGTTGTGTTGCCCACAAAACTTGCCATATGTCTTCTTTAAGCGTTCTGCATTCTCACCCGAAAACTGCAGAGGAAAGAGAATAACGGTTACGCTCTATTTCAGGGGATCATCCTGTAAAAAGTTTCCAGTCCATTTGTAAAAGCTAAGAATGCTTTCTCATAAATTCCCCTTAAAGATAAATTGATAGCAGCTCTGGAAAATGGTTTGGCACTCCATTAAAGGTCAAACACAGAGCTTTCTTGAGACCTACTACTTCTACTCCTAGGTGTATACCCAAGAGAAATGAAAACGTACATCTACATAAAAACTTATGCACAGGGTTGGGGATGTGGCTCAAGCGGTAATGCGTTCACCTGGCGGGGCGCTGGGTTCGATCCTTAGCACCACATAAAAATAAAATAAAGATGTTGTGTCTGCCAAAAACTGAAAAATAAATATTAGAAAATTCTCTCTCTCTTTTCTCTCTTTAAAAACAAACAAACTTATGCACAAATGTTCATAGCAACATCATTCATAATAGCCCCCAAATAGTAAAAAGAATGTCCATCAGTAGATAAAATAAATAAAACATGGTATCCATACAAAGAAGTATCATTCAGTCATAAAAAGCAACAAAGTTGCTACAATTCTGAATAATCTTGAAAACCATTATAATCTTGAAAAAAGCCAGTCATGAAGGACCACATATTGTTTTATTATGTTTATACAGAAATGTCCAGAAGAGGCAAGAGAAAATATATTAGCAGTTACCTAGGATTAGGGCAATTTGATGTTTTTGTGTGAAAGGGAGCAACTACTAATGAGTATGGGGTTTCTTTCTGGAATGATAAAATGTTTTAAAATTCACTGTGATGGTGGTTATACAACTCTGAATATACTAAAAACAATTTAGCTTCACATTTTAAATGAGTGGATTGTTACAGAATAAGAATTTTATCTGAATAAAACTTACATTTTCATGATTTAAAAATACATTTCATGTCTTAAAACTTCGATCTCCTTAATTTAAGGTAAGGGCTGGGTTTTTCTTCATGAGATACTTTTACTTCAGGTAAACAGTTTTAATAAGCCTGTATACCCTTAAATAATTCCCAAATCTGTGCAATCTCAAAGATCCATCTGAAGTAATGTTCATCTTGGGGTAAATCAGTGAATTTTTGTAAGGTGTCTATCTAATTCATGCTAAGCACTGATTTCCATGCACTAAAAATCTCAGACATATTACACTTTACCAAAAAAATCTGAAAAGTAGACTGGGGCTATAGCTCAGTTGGCAGCGTGCTTGCCTTGCATGCATAAGGCCCTTGGTTCAATACCCAGCACTATACAAAAAAAAAAAAAAAAAAAAGAATTTGGGGCGTGGGTTATGGCTCAGCAGTAGAGGGCTTGCCTTGCACGTGCAAGACCCTGGGTTCAATCCTCAGCACCATATTAAAAAAAAAAAAAAAAATTTGAAAAGGACTCAGGGTAGTTTTTCCTATCCCCACTTACCAATGGAGAAACCAGCAGAAAGATGTTATTTACTTATACTCTATATACCATAAAACAAGTGCCCTAAAAGATAAAATCCAGCACTGGTGCACAGAAATAGACACCAGTACTATGATTTCAATCCCAGTGTCAATGATCTTACTAGGGGACGTATATAAATAAATGTAAGGAGCTACAAATGATAATATAAGTCAAGGTTTGGTGAATTGCCTGTTGCAGGCCTTAAAGGCAGAGAGGTAAGGCAGAAAGAGTGGAATGGAAAATGACTGGAAGGCTCTGTTGCAGATGCCCCCTGTTCAATATGCAAATCTGCCATACCAGATTTGCATTTATTTCACAACACGCCTATTTTTACTTCTAGAATAGCAGTTCCCTGAGGCAGAGGTCCAAGTCATGTTTAACATATCTGTGTATTTACCAGATGCTCAGTAAATACTTCAAGAATGAATGAATACAATAATGAGTTAGTGAAATGAGCAGAATGGGCTAATACAAGGAAAAGACAAAATTTCTAATTCTCAGACAAATGTTCCAGCAATTAAGCCTCTGTTCCTTCACAAAAGCAGAGATTTGATGGGGGAAAAAAATACTAATTGTACGTGTGTTATACCTGAAGTTTTATTTTTTTCAAGAAAATTTTCTGAAGAAACCATTAATAGCTGCTTGTGACAAATACATCTGCAAGTATCAAAATAACTTTTAGATAAATTTTCTTAGAGTGGGAGTAAAACCATACCACTATGATAAAAATATCAACAATACATATTTTAGTTATGTATTTCACAGACAGTCTCTTGTTCAATTTTCTATGTTCAGCAGTTTTTTGTTTGTTTTTTTTTTTGTAAATGAGATCCTTCTGATTTGAGCCACAGGGCAAAGGTGAAGATTTCCAATAAGTATTCTTTGATTTCCAACTCTTTTTTACTGTGTTATCTACTGTGTGTTAGGTATTGATATATAACATATTTATCTATATATCACACACACATACATACAGATACTTCCCTTTAACTTTTTAAAATAGCAAAAGCAGAGAATCCCTATTGTTCTTTTTTATAGAAAAGGAAATCAAGGCTTAGAGAGATTAACTTCCCTAAGCTTACACAGGTAAAAGGCAGAACTGAGATGTGAATGTATGGTTCCTGAGCCCCGAGGCTTCACTTTTCCCCCTCACAACAAGTGAGAAGAACCAGAGACCCTTCCCGTGGCTCACCTGATTTACAAGCACATCCCCTATCCTCTTGATAAGAAAGTTCTTTTCACTTTTATCCACCACAGACTCCTTCTTCCGCTCCAGAATCCTCTGAAAGAACTGGCTATGGATACCAATCAGCTCATCCAAACAGGGAAACAGCTTTTCCACCATCTGCTGCTCAAAGAGCAGATCTGTCATCATCCCCCGACTGTACACATCACTCATGATCTTGAGAGTTCGGATGTGATGGAACTCTGTCTGCATTAACTCTGGGAAGGAGGACAGAGATCAACAATTTTTATTTTTAATTTAAAAGAGCATTGTCCTTCAAAGATCAGCTGCTACAGTCATAAGGTTATTTTGGAATTCAATTTAAACTTTAAAACTGGCTCAATAGCTGTATTTTTCCTAAGGTATTCTCATCTTAATCCTCTACTTTTCACATTACCCAACACTATTTTCTGATGACAGGTATACTTAAGTACTGCTTACACCAAGAATGCTTCACTGGATTCAGCACCTCTCATAAATGACTATTTCTGTTCCCTATAAACAACTTATATTTCATCTATTTTCTAGTGTAGCTGAGGAACAAAACTGCACTTTCTCCTTTTTTTTCTTTTTTTTTGGTAGTGGGAATTGAAGCCAGGGGCACTTACCACTGAGCCACCTCCCCAGACCTTTTAATTTTTTATTATGAGACAAAGTCTTGCTAAATTGCTTAGGGCCTCACTAAGTTGCTGAGCTGGATTTGAACTTGTGATCCTCTTGCCTCAGCCTCCTGAGCTGCTGGGATTACAAGGATGTGCTACCATGCTTGGCTCAAAACTGCACTTTCATAAGAGATCTCTTCCTAGGACTGCTGTGCAACTGAGCACTCATATATAAATAAAACACTCAAGAGAATGAAAAAGAAATAGAATAGGGCAAAGGAAGAAAAGGATACAAATAAGAACTTGTTTGTGTACCTCAAAGTTTTTAAAGGAAATCTTTAAAATCTTAAAAATCAAAAGTTGATTTTTCCACAGCCTATCAAATCACTAGTTTAAAAATGTTGAACAATGCAAATCAAATGTAAGCAGAGCAAATGAAGAATCTCACCATAAATCACTTCTTGCCGTTTGACCACATCTTTCTTTTGCTGTTTCAGAAACTTGCCATCCACTATCCGACTCCAAGACTCTGCTTCTAGCTGTTTGGAATCAATCTCAAAGTCTCCCATTAGCTGTCCTTCATTCATGTCTGTACCTACTCCTCAAAATATAAAAAAAATTAATATTAGAATCTTGAGTTTGTGACTTCTAAAAAGCCTAGGTTGGATACTTCTTACGATGATAAATGATTTCTTAAGAAACAAATACTCTGCATTAACACAGGAGTTCTTCATGGAGAGTATATCCTGGTTCTAGAAAATAATCAATGTCCTATTTGGGAGTGACTCAGACTCTACATTCAAGACTGGTTAAGAAAAGATAAATAAAATATAAATCAAACATATGAATAAGAGATGATTCCCACATGAAGCAAGAACTGGAAGGGATCTGCTACCTTTACAGGTTTAATAAAGTAAGCTTATCATGCCACGAGAGCTAGAATTAATAGTGCACAAAAGACTAGGGAAGAAAAGTCATTTCTCCACACAAGGGTATGCCCACATTTAAAGTCAATGGCACAATTAACAACTGGTTAAGGGTGATTACCAATTCATTTTAATGCATTTGATGCTTTACAGACAAATTTAGAGAAGCTTCACACGGTAAGGAAGAGGTAGGCACTATTAACAATGGTGTTCTATGTAAAGGCACATTCTCTACAGAGGCATATAATACAGGCCACAACTTCCTCTTACCCTCATCAGTAAGTGATTCTGTTGACTCATTGACCTTGCTGATCTTATTCAGTGAGTCTGTTGAATGAGACAGGAATTTCCAGGTGTTGGACATGCTCTCATCATTGCCAACTCTGGGGACAAAAAGAAGTACATTCTATCAAATAGCAGTGTTCACACACTTAAAGAAGTACCTGAAAAATTCGAAAACGATAGCTGGCTGAAAGTTCTACAGTGACTAAAGACCAATTACTTACACCAGGCATAGAGCAACAACACTATTCTTAAAGTTTAGTAGCATTTAATATCCTTGCAAACGTAAAACTTTTCAACTCTTTGAGACTTCTTTTTTTTATTTAAATGATAATCAGCAAAGAAAACTTTCTTCACTCATATCATGTACACATTATATAAGAAATTTTGCTATTTAAAACTTATTGCCTAGCCACTACACTTGCCTAAGTAATTATAGACTAAGTGCTATATTCTTGGGACTTTCTCAATCCAACTCACCAGCTTGTATAGTAGGTACCCAACAAATGTACTGCATAACACAAAAGCAAAAGCAATAACAATCACTTAAAACTTCAATTTTTTTTTTAAAACAACTTTTCAAGTCACAATGCGAACCAACTTGATAATAATACAACTTTTGAAAAAAAGACTTATGGAGATAATGAGACCACAAGACAAAAATGTTTTTAAGAGGAGGAAACATTAGCTAGCACAGGGGTTAGGATATACAGACAAAAGGAAATTTTGCATCCTCTTGTTAACTTCCATCAACCTAGGTTAAGACACATGCAAAAGATGTGTCTTACATTTGAGATGATAGGCAAGTAGGCATTTTATCCAAACCAGCCAAAACATCATAATCATTCCTATGCTAACCAGACAGCCAATGCATGAACAGTCAGTGGCCACAGCAACTTTTCAGGAGACCACAAAAAGAATTGAGTGCAACTGAGTGACTGGGAACTTAATGGTAGCAAATGGCCCACAATTTACCTCCATGAAACTGACTTAGAGGCAAGGATAGAAAAATGATTTAAAAAGAAACTAAAGAACCAGGCTCATCTGAGCAATACAAAAGTGTGACATTTGAACATATAAGTGGCTGCAAACAAAAATTCATAATTTAATCATCTTTTCCCCCCATGCCTTCTTATTTGATCTAAAAATCATCCTTTAGAACTTTATATTCTTCAAAAGTTGGGCTGATCATGTACAAATACTACAGCAACGTGGTCTGACAGTAGTGTCTAAAGGAGATCCTTGTCCCAAAATAGCGGTTATAACAGTGCATCATAAGTATAATCCCCATTTTCCTCATCTGTAGCACCCAAATGTGCACCAACCCGTTACTTTACACAAATGTTTCTAAAGAAAAATCTTTTGTCAAATGATGTGATTATTATACTCTTATCACCCACATGTCAATCATGTTATTTTTAAACCTCCTACTTACCCAGTAATGTTCTGAATGGAGACACTTTTGGAGAGCGAGACACTCTGCTGGGACCGTCTATTAGCAAACATTGGGGCAGCAGTGGTTTCATCAGCCAGAAGGACTGCGGATCGAGGGCGCTCCTTGGGCTGTGAGGCTGCAGAGGAAGAGGACACAACTGAAGTCTCATCTTTATGCCCACTTAGTACTGATTCATCTGACAATGCCAAACAGAAGCAAAGTGCTTTAAAACAGATTTGCCCTTGGAGGGTAAAATTGCTACAAAGGTTATGAAGGACAGTTTGGCAGTAATTACTGAAATTGTAAGTACTGATATTCTTTGATCTAGTAATTTTACTCCCTGCCGCCCCCTCCCCCACCCCCAGTACTAGAGATTGAACCCAGGGTGCTCTACCATTGAACTACATTCTCAGTCCCTTTAATTTTTATTTTGAGACAGGGTATTGCTAAGCTGCCAAGGTTAGCCTTGAACTTGTTATCCTCCTGATTCAGCCAAGTTGCTGGGATTACAGGTATGCACAACCAAACCTTGCTATTAGTAATTTCACCTTTAGAACATGTTTAGTCTATAAGATATATTTGTGTATGTTTGAAAGGATGTGTGTCCAAAGTTATTCAAAGAAATATTGTTGATTAAAGAAAAAGACTGGAAATGATACTAATAAGCACCAAAAAAATCGGTCAATAAGTTACAGTACATCATACACTAGAATATTATGCAGCTTTAACAAAATAAAAATATTCTTCATGTACTGACATATACCTAAGATGCAGTAAGTGAAAGGGGGTGGGAGAAATAAAGATGCAAAACAGTACATAATAATAGGCCACTCTTAATGCTTTTAAAAAAGGGAAATCAATAATCCAAGTTAGTATTTACATTAACAAGGCTAACTTTGAGAAGATAAATGAAAAACTAAGAGTGGTTACCTGTGGTATGGGATAGAAACTAAACAATGAGGATAAAGAATCACATGAAAATATTATATATTTTAAAATTTAAACTTAATAAAAATAAGGTTGAAATAACATTAAGAGTAAAAGGAATCTTAGAGGTAACTGAGACCAGTGTTCTTTGGATCATACCATGAAACATCTGTGAAGTGTTTCTTAGGTATAAAATTCCCAGCCCTTGCTGTACTCTGGAGTGGGACTTGGGAGTCTACATATTTTATAGGCTTCTCAAACAATTCTTCAGTTCATCATTTGAGAGCACAGATTCTGACCAATTCCTTTAATTTATGGATTAAAAAAAAACAGGATTACTTGTTTAATGTCACATAGCTAATTGATCCTCCTTCTGCAAACTTCTCTTCAACATAGGCTAAGAGGAAACTGGAACTTTAATTTGCTCAAATGGTCACACAGGCATACATGTAACATTATTTTTCCTTGACAAATGTCAGGATTTTTTTAAACTTAATAAATGTTAATACAAGCATTCATTTCTTCTTTTTTTTCTCTTTGGTACCAGGTATTGAACTCAGGGACACTTGACCAGTGAGCCACACCCCCAGCCCTATTTTGTATTTTATTTAGAGACAGGGTCTCAATGAATTGCTTAGCACCTTGCTGTTGCTGAGGCTGGCTTTGAACTTGCAATCCTCCTGCCTCAGCTTCCCGAGATGCTGGGATTACAGGCATGTGCCACCGCGCATGGCTAAGCATTCATTTCAAATTCAAATTCTATTTAGACAAAGGTGATGTATAGTAAAACACCAGAAACATGACACATTGCATCACAACCAGACATTGCTACAGGAGTCCCAAGAAATGTAGCTGTGGCCCCTGCTCTAGTAGGCCAGAGCAAACAGTGGGTAAAAGAGAACATGCTCAAGTATCAAGAGTCTGAAGTCCAAGTGCTTCAGAAGGGAGTTCAGGGAGCAGACAAAATCTGAAAGGGGGTGGGGGGGAAACCCAACACTAGTTCTTGAAGAATGTGGATAGATCAGAAGAGGACATTCTGAGAAGAACTGTATGAATAAAGGCAGAAATCATGAAGCAAAAAGAAAAGCAGAGGAGGAAATAGGTAGGAGATGTAGGTAAGGGACCAGTGAAAAGGCTGAAGAAGTAGAATGTTACATAAAACTCTACAATTAATAAAGAACAACTTGTATCCAAAAGGTGGGGTAAGAGGATGAAATAATAGCCTTTCCTTGATGGAAAGCAATCCATAGTCCACCCAGGGAAGTCACTTAATATCTTTAAGTCTGTTATTTGTGACAATGATAGAAGCAAAACTTAAGGAGTGTCAACTACTAAGTATTTTACTAGTCTGATTTGTGTGAGTGGGGGCACAATGGGAGGCACACTGCATACTGAATCCATTGAATAGGCAAGCCAGGCAAGTGCCCAACCACTGAGCCTACAGGTATGATTTTATTTATCAGTCAGGTAGGCAGCCTGACTACCCTAGGAAACCTACCATTACCTCCTTTACATAGGAGGAAAATGAGGCACAGAGAGGTTCAGCAGCATTTAAGGTTACACAGCTAATTAGTAGTGGTGCTTGGATTCAAATCCATATAACTAGAATCCACAATCTGTACTTTCAACCAGTATACTGCCTCAGTGGGGTAAAGTAGAAATAAAAATATCTGCGTGTGGGCTAGGAATGTAGTTCAGTGGTTCAGCACTTGCTTAACATGGGCAACCTCCGGCAAAACACACACACACACACACACACACACGAACATTTGTATGGGTCAGAGATAAAAAACCTTGCACACTAGGGCAAGGTGGCTGTGGCTCAGTGATAGAGTGCTTGCCTTGCATGTGTGAGGCATTGGGTTCGATCCTCAGCCCAATAAATAAAGAAAAAAAATATTAAAAAAATGACAACAACCACCTTGCACATAACAGGCATTTTACAGTAAGAGAGTTAATGTTAGACTTGCAAAAGTCACATGGAATGGGTTGGGTCATAGATTTACGTAGGCGTCAAGTCTGGCAAAGCATCTCTTCTAGCCATCTACATGCAAAGATGGATAATCATCAGGCAATATGTTTAAGGATTTCACATTTCCCTGTGGGAGTACAGACTGGTACTTATTCTGGAGTTATCTGGAAGTACTTAGAAAAATAAGGCATAAAGTTATGAATCTCAAGCTGAAGGGGTCATCAAAATCACCTAGGGGGCCTATTAAAACACAGATCACTGGACTCCACCTTGGAATTTCCGATTCATAGATGTGGGTGGATCACAAAAGTATGTGTGTTTAATGGATCCTGGAAATTACTCTATTTTGGGAAAGTCTCTCATAGGTTCTCATAGAGTCAACTAAGAGGATAATCATTACTGCATTATTTATGGTAGTAGTTATTTATATTTAAGTTGGAAGCAACTTAAATATCCTGTTTTGGGGGAACTAGTAATTAAAATGTGATATACACTTTTGAAAGAATATCATGCAGCAATCTGAAATAACAGCTTAAAATAATAATAACATGCATAGTCTCAAAATGATACTGAGTGAAAAATAAGAATAAGACAGGTGTGGTTGGCTCATGCCTATAATCCCAGCAATTTGGAAGCCTGAAGCAAGAGAATTACAAGTGTGAGATAACTTCAGCAACTTAGCAAGATCTTATCTCAAAACATTAAAAAAAAAAAATGAGGGGGTATAACTCAGTGGTTAAGTGACTCTGGATTTAATCCTCAGTATGGGAAGACAAAAAAAAAAAAAAAAAAGGAAAAAGAAAACAAATAATAATATATAAGTCACATTACCTAATTTAAATTTAATGCACAAAAACAACAGATTTTTTTCCCCAAAATACATATGTCTAAAGATATGGCAGATTAGAAAGACATACATTCGATAGTAGGAATGAGATAGGAAATAAAGAACAAAAAATAAAATATCAGGCAAATTCAAAGTGTAGCCTCACATAGACTGGTGAAGATAGCATGATGTGAATGGGAGTGTGTGATTCACTCAACCATGTGTAACATTTGAAGGAAAAAAATGAACCATTTACATAACTTCACTGGGTATACAAACCTTCAAAGAGGATTTGATGGTGTCATATAAAACTATTGGTGAGTGAATTTGTAGAATAAACAGCCTTTCTAGTTAGGTATTCAGAATAGGTATTCAAATCCTGATGAGAAATAATAAATGAACACTACAACAGTACTTATGGTACAGAACCAGTCAGTCAGAAAGGGACTTGTAGGAGGTTGGCTGAGCTACTTACGCTTGTTTCTCATGATGACCGTGGGGAGTGAAGACGTGTCATGGGCCTGAAGGTTCCCTTTGGGCTGCTAAAGAAAAAGAAAGTACAAGAAAATTGCATTGATGACTTAGCCTCTGTCAAGTTTCAAGCAGCCTAGAATAAAAAGTGTGGTTTGGCCTAATTTCCTGGTCTGGTCTTTTCACTGGCTCTTAGCACCCTGCAATACAGCCCGTCACCCCCACTTGCCATCTTCTGTGCCTGTCTAGTGTATGAGGAAGCCAGATGTGTGAATTGCAGAGTAGGTCTGCATATATGGTTAAGAGCAAAATTATTTTAATCAGCAACTCAGAAATATTAAACTCACAGGGAAATGTATATTTAACATGTTTAAGTTCTGGAAGCATTTTCTTTTCCCAGAAGTCTCAAATTCCCAAGCATGTTAAAATCAAGAAGGGAACTGATCATTTTAGAGAAAAATTATTGTTTGATCATTTTGGCTTCAAGGTTGGTACCAAATGATTAAAACAAACAAACCCACTGCAACCTCAACTCTCCCAATTTCTTAGTATTTTGTTAGTTGAAACCCTTTTATTTTAAGCCATCTTTTCACCAGAATGTCTTACTTTCATTTTGACCTTTGCACAGGAGGCCAGACTTTCTCTGCAGCCTTTGTGGACAAAGGCACTGCAATCTGAAAAGAAAGCAGAAACCAAAGTCACAAAAACAAAGCAAAAAGACCCGAGATTGACTTTGCACCACAGCTACAAGGAACCTACAGATTTCCAGATGATGTCACTCACAGGGAAGAATATCATTAATAATGGAAATTACACTGTGCAGTCCTAGGATACAGGCCTGTGATGTTGTTTGGAGGAGAAACAAGAGCAGACGTGACTTCTGATTAACAAGAATAAAAACTCCGGAACTCTTCAGACAGGAAGCTGAAGAACCAACCAAAACTAAAAGTTTCAGTGTCTGCCATCAATATGTATGTCTAAATCACAAGTAAATAAATAATGCCACTAAGAGTGGTTGTAAACTGTGTAGTACTCTATCAAAATACAGGACATGGATCTGAAAATCTACCTGCTTATAATTTTCTGTTTGGGATCTTAAATATCCTGAGCTCCTCACAAACTACTGAGTCAAGAGACATACAAGAAAGGTTATCACAACTACCCCACAGCATTCCTGGGAACCCTGACTCAGCGAAAGTAGAAGATTTCCTGAAAGATAAAGCAGAGACCCCAATTTGCCAAGACTGATTTTTTAAATAAAGTTGTCATATCTTATTGTACATCTTTATTTTATTTACTTTATGTGGTGCTGAGGATCAAACCCAGTGCCTTACACATGTGAGGCAAGTGGTCCGCCACTGAGCTACAACCCCAGCTCATGCCAATATTGATTTTTATCTCAAAATACTTTTCTTACTTCCTTGGCTTACCAGGACCACTGATGTAAAAATGAAGCACTCTGTGCCCCAGAAGGGTCATCACCAGCTCTTACTGCTGCTATGAAGTCGTAAAACACAACTGGACCAAGAGGCCAGAGGGAAAGCAGAAACAAAAGATTTGTCTCTGGGGACACAGATGAGAAGTTTCCCTTGGGAAAGGCTGGATCAGGAAATCAACCACAGATACTGTTTACTAGTCAGTGCTTCAGGAAGTGCTGCAGGTCCTGTCCAGCTTAATGAATAGTCATGGGCCAAAACTGAAGCTCAGACATCTGGACTGCAGGGGTAGGGGTGGCTGGGGGGATTGGAATGACAAGGGAAGGGGAAGACACTAGAATGGCTAAAAAGGAGACTGCCAGAAACCTAAACCCCAAAGGACTTTTCCATTTCTTCTGCAACCACTGTTTCTACAATGCCCATTTGGTTCACAGGTCTCTTCTGAATTCTCCCAGTCACACCGTTCTGGGATTATGTTAGGTTGTTCTGCACTGAGCACTCTTCAGGAGGGATCATTCATACACTGCTAAGACTCTAGCACAGTGCCCAGCTCATGGCACCTAATCACATATCTATCTGTGGAACCTATGCCTGTTTTATCTGAAAGCCAAATGCCCCAACACAGTGTTGATCACAGAATGTGAAACTTATTGGATCAACTTAACACTAAAAAGAACAAGACAAACAGCTGTCAAACTAAATTTAATTTAGGTAAGGTTCTGTTAATCAGTGCAACCCTAGTTCATTCTCCACAGTCCTCAGTTTCCACCTCTATAAAATAAGAGGGGCAACATTTTCCCTTAGTTTTAAATACTGATAAGGATATGAGAATGAATAAAAAAGTCTCATCATTTGCTAACAGATCTAGAAATTGATACACTCACTTTGGTATTTTAGCAGTATGTAACGAAGTGAATAAGCCCATTTTGATATAAAGCCTAGTATCACACACACACCTTAAGGATGTTCTGACAGCATTGTGTGTAACACAGAAAAGCTGAAAATAACCCAAATGACTGAGCAGTGGAACATATCTGACATATCTACAGCTGAATACTAGGGAAGAGCTGAAAGTCAATGATCACAATGGGTTTCAACGTGATGATTACAAAATAGTAGGCACTGTACAGTACCATTTATGTAAACTAAAAACAATAAATAATAAAAAACAATAAATAATAAAATTTTAAAATCTTATGTGAGATAAAATTAAAAATCAAATTACAAATATGCTAAATTCATGATAGTGCTTGGAGAAGAACAGCAAGGAAGTGGGAATTTAACTACAATACCTTCTTTCTTTTTTGCGGGGGGGTACCAGGGATTGCACTCAGGGGCACTCAACCACTGAGCCACATACCCAGCCCTATTCTGTATTTTATTTAGAGACAGGGTCTCACTGAGTTGCTTAGACTCACTTCTACTGATGCTGGCTTTGAATTCATGATCCTCCTGCCTCAACTTCCCCAGCTGCTGGAATTATAGGTGTGTACCACCACACCCAGCTACAATGGCTTATTTCTTAAAAAAAATAAAAAATAATCTGAAGCACTGACAAAATCTTAAGTTTTTCTCCATTTTGATTGGCAGGTATATAGAATGCCTATTAAATTATCCATGTATAACAGTTTATATTAATACAAATTGAAACCAAACCAAACCAAAATTCATTATCCTTCAAAGTTCCTTGTATGTCCTTACCAACATTTCCTTATCTTTATAAAAAAGTAACATCACATTTGTGATAAATTTAAAACAATTTAAAATTAGGTTTTAAATTAGACAATAAGAGAACAAACAACCCAATCAACAAATGGGCCAAGGACCTGAACAGACACTTCTCAGAGGAGGACATACAATCAATCAACAAGTACATGAAAAAATCCTCACCATCTCTAGCAGTCAGAGAAATGCAAATCAAAACCACCTTAAGATACCATCTCACTCCAGTTAGATTGGCAGCCATTATGAAGTCAAACAACAACAAGTGCTGGCGAGGATGTGGGGAAAAGGGTACACTTGTACATTGCTGGTGGGACTGCAAATTGGTGCAGCCAATTTGGAAAGCAGTATGGAGATTTCTTGGAAAGCTGGGAATGGAGCCACCATTTGACCCAGCTATTCCCCTTCTCGGTCTATTCCCTAAAGACCTAAAAAGAGCATGCTACAGGGACACTGCTACATCGATGTTCATAGCAGCACAACTCACAATAGCAAGACTGTGGAACCAACCTAGATGCCCTTCAATAGACGAATGGATTAAAAAAATGTGGCATTTATACACAATGGAGTATTACTCTGCATTAAAAAATGACAAAATCATAGAATTTACAGGGAAATGGATGGCATTAGAGCAGATTATGCTAAGTGAAGCTAGCCAATCCCTAAAAAACAAATGCCAAATGTCTTCTTTGATATAAGGAGAGTAACTAAGAACAGAGTAGGGTCGAAGAGCATGAGAAGAAGATTAACATTAAACAGGGATGAGAGGTGGGAGGGAAAGGGAGAGAGAAGGGAAATTGCATGGAAATGGAAGGAGACCCTCAGAGTTATACAAAAGTACATACAAGAGGAAGTGAGGGGAAAGGGAAAAATAATACAAGGGGGACAAATGAATGTCAGTAGAGGGGGCAGAGAGAGAAGAGGGGAGGGGAGGGGAGGGGAGGGGGGATAGTAGAGGATAGAAAAGGCAGCAGAACACAACAGACACTAGTATGGCAATATGTAAATCAATGGATGTGTAACTGATGTGATTCTGCAATCTGTATATGGGGTAAAAATGGGAGCTCATAACCCACTTGAATCAAAGTGTGAAATATGATATATCAAGAACTATGTAATGTTTTGAACAGCCAACAATAAAAAATTAAAAAAAAATAAAAAAAAATAAAATTAGGTTTTATTATCATATATCCCAGTTACAATATTTTTGCTTTACTGAAAATCTATAATATTTTTGGTGCAATATAAAAGGTAGTGGATTTCCTTGAGAACTTGCCATTAATTCCAATCTGCCAAAGTGACCAGATAGAACACTGTGGATAGAACTTATTCCCAAGTTGGATCCTTCCTGTTCCTCTTCTCCTTGCAAGTTCCAATAGCTATAGGGAATCAGCCAATGGCAGTTTTCAAGAGAGCGAGTGGCACTATCACTTTTAAACAGAGTAGCAGTTTTTAAGTTCTAAGACCAGCGTTTAAGACTTAAAAAAGTTTTGTTAGATGAATCATAAAAGCAGAAATAAAATTTAAATGTATTTCTAGAACTTTTCACATAGATGCATGTTTTCAGTTAATTGAGACATGTCTCCAAATCAACAATCCAGCTGAAACTTTAATATTATGGTCACAAGTCTTAGTGATAATAGTTCACATGGATGTTTGTTAACATACTGAAGTACCTACTTGAAAAACATTCAACTTGTTACTAAGTGTTACTGGACTCAATCTGCAGCTACAGTTTTAGGGCTATGCATGGCTGATTTAGAGACTTTGACCCCTAGAGATATCAACCAAAGTCATGGGCTTGCAACCTTATTCTCTCTCTCTCTCTCTCTCTCTTTTTTTTTTTTTTAAAAAAAGGACAGTTAATAAGAACACAAGAATTAAGTACAAAATTAATAAGAACATAAGAACTGAAAACACATTTAAAACATTTTTAAGCTCTCTGCCACAATACCATGCCATTAGGAAGATCAAACAAGAAATAGCTTGGCCTCTTATTTAAAATTTCCTAATAGCAGTAAGCAATATGCTTTTAGTTTTCAAAATTCTTCAAAAAGGTCTTAGCACAGTAATTTATGGGAACAGAATTGACCTCTAATTAAATTCCTCTGATTAAAAGCAAATAGCCTAAGCTTCAACTTCCTTTTCTTTTACAAAGAAGTATCAAAAGAAAATGGAGCAAACCCCACAGGAGTAGAAACTGCCATCTAACTGTTGCTGCACATATTTTTAACCTCTGCTAAAAACCACCACAGATCTTTGGTGAACTATTATATCATGCATTTAATTTCAGCAGAAAAATAAAACAAACCATTATAGAGACTAGCTTAAGAAAATCGTTTTTACAGAAGAGTGGGAGGAGTAGCTAAGCCAAACTAACCTTACAGAATAGTAAAGGACTGGTTTACCAAAGGAAAGATTCACCTCTGTAAGCCGAGTTCTATGCAGCTAGAGCTCTGGAGAAAGGACTTTTCAGATACTTTGGTCCACTGATTGTCACTAGGGAATATGTTGAG